GGGAGCAGCCAGAGATCAGGGAAAAGAAAAACACAGACCACTAGGGCCAGGGAAGGGAAGTGGGGGGGGGAAACAGAAGGGCGCCCACAGAGGGAGAGGAGAAACATAATTTTTTCCACTCCCTTTGACTCTCCACAGTGATGGGGTAAATGCTTAGTTGGCAGGTGATTGTGCTTCGAGCAGTTATTTGCTGGTCGGAGGAGGGGCACATCAAATGGTACATCTCTCTTCCCCCCACTCCACCTCAGTCGTCCCTTGACATCACTTGACATCCAAAACAGGCACTCTGGACAGGCCTAGAGAATAGGAATGAGAAGGACTTCCTCCCTTTTTCACTGACATTTTCCCACCTCGTTTCTCCTTTTCTGCATACACAGATTTTTAATATTTACGATTTCTTTTAATGAGCTTTTTAAAAAGAGTCCAGAAGGTGGGGGGCGGGAAATGGTCCAGTCTCCATCGTGGGCCCAATGGAAGGACTTTTCAAGCTAATATGGAGATTTATTTCCATGGCAAAAGAAGAAATCGCAATCATGGGGCACAGAACATTGGGGGAAGAAAGCCCAGCTGGGAAAGAAAGAAATTAAGTGCTGAATTTGTGGCTCTCGCAACCTCCAGAGGATAATACATAGATGCAAAAGATCTGAATTAAAAACCCCCTCAATCATAGCATTCATAGGGAGGGCAGTGAGAGGCCTTTGCAACCTCAACACAGCTCACATTTTGCATGTCTCAGTTGAGCCTGCTTCATAAGGCTCTTGTCAAACTGGGATGTTGTAAAATTCAAATAGGTTCTTGCCGCCAGAGATGCAGAATTTGGGCCAGAAGGCTGAATCCATGGCTTGATTAGTCCTTGAAATGCTGCACAAGGCTTGCCTGAAGCAGAAATCAAGCATTCAACTGGCCAAAAGTATAGGTGTATGTTTATTTATTCCCCCCCGCCTTTCCCCTTAAAAAGTACCCAAGGCTGCTGACATAAGTATTTAAAGCTAGAAACAGTAAGTTTACAAATACTAAAAAGATCAAACAAAAAAACATACTAACAAAAGTTACACCAGGACACATTCCAGGGCGTAAAGTACAACAATCCATTTAAAACCCACTCAGGCAGCCATTCACGCGAGGAAAGCCTGCATGAAGAGGAAGGGTCTTGATCGGCCAGCAGAAGGAGGGCAAAGACGGGGCCAGGCTGGCCTCCAGTGGCAGGGAGTTCCAGAGTCTAAAGGAACCACCACAGGGAAGGTCCTCACCCACGTGTCTCCACCAGATGCAGCTGTGAAGGAGGCAAGATCGAGAGGAGGATGTGAGGGGAGTGTGCCTGGTGAAGGAAATATGATGGAGACACACACCGCCTCCCTTGATCCAGCTTCCTCGCTCAGAGGCTGGCCTCTGGGAGGGCGAAACAAGACGCCGTGTCCATGACTCACAGCATCCTTTTCAGCCAAGTTGGCGTAGCTTTCGGTTTTGGCTCTGCGTTGGTCAGCCTCCTTCAAAAGAGAGCTCCTTCTGCTCTGAGGAGATAAAAATTGTGAGGGAAAAGGAAAAGTTCCCTCTTGGCTGATGAGAATGTAAGCCATTTTGGGCAGGCAGGCTGTTGCCTGTCAGGCAGAAGAAAGGGACACAAAATGGCTGCTCCAAGAGGCTTA